ACTGTGAAACACTTGATCTTTGCCAACTTCTTCCATAGAAATCCATCTGTACAAGTTTTATCAAGAGCAAAACAGATGTAGTCCCCTTTTTCATTCCGGACATGGAAACATCTGGAGAACATAATCAAAAACTGAGTTATAAAGTAAGAATGCACAGCAAACTATGACATAGTACACTCATGCACCTACTTTCTATTCAATTCCTTAATCATATCCAAGAACTTTGGCCAAGTAACTTCCTCGTATAGGGGATTTGCTGCATGTGCTTGGTCGAAGCGGCTCCGTTTAGATGGAGAACTGCCCATAACCTCAACGTACTCATGAAACCAATTCTTGAGTACAGGCAACAGCTCTAAATACAAAATAACTTGTAGTAACTGAAACGAGCCGAGAGCGATTAGGATGAGGCAAACGAGGACTGGCTAAGTAGAGCAACGGACTCAGCACTATTCAAATTCAAAAATGTGAGAACAGCACTTTGAAATTGTCGCAAGTGGAAGTTGTACAGTAGCTTTAAGTTTCGCAACTTACTGGCACTGGGATAAGGTTCACAGAAGTAATGGATAGTATTATCCACACCCCATAAACAAGCCAACACAACTTATTCTGCCACATATTAAGACTATATGATTTTAAACTTACAGATATTGTAGGTGATTTCTTGAAACCAGAATGCACTGCTTGCAGAGGGAAAGTACCCATGTGAGAAAACAATGAGTAACCCGTTCATCAAGTTTCACTTTTATAAGAAACTGTATGAGTCATACTAGAAGTTTCGTTGCATCCAAAAAAAGAAACCGTAATTCCCCATTAACTAATGTATTTTCTAAATTGATTCTAAAAATCTATGACATTTTATGACATGCAGACCAGTTATTAGAGGATTTTGGTTTTCATACATCATGAAAAAGTGGATGTACCTACTCTTAAACCGATTTTATTCATAACAGTGACTTAGAACGTATTGCATGTTTTTTTGCTCATTTTGGAAATAAGAAAACAACTCAAGTTTACTACAAATATTATGGTCGCTTCTGACAGCGAACAAAATACGTTTACGTTTCATTGCTGCGACCACCCAAACTTTGCGGATTTTGATGAAAGCGTGTAGATTGTTCCCAAATTAAACCACTTCCCAAATGCACCCTGGGAAATGCGTGTGATGTCCAGTCTCTCGTTCATGGATAGTATCACTAGAATCTGGCCCATCTCGTAGTTGAATAGATAAACTCGAAATTTATAGAAAGTATAGCTCATTATGTAACTGCCGAGGAATCTTTGATAATGTTGAACGGAAGGTGACACGTTAAATTTTTTCTAATACGCCATGATTGGTTGCCATTTCTATTTGAAAAAGTCTGATAAGAAAGAACACAGAGACTATTAGGAAGGGGTACAAAGAACGGAGAAGTAAAAAAAAACTGATGAAAAAAGAACGACTCCATACTTTGGAGTACACATTGTTGTTCGACAGTTGGTAGACCACCAGGACTACGTTTCATGAGAATTTATTTCTTGCTCTTTGTTGAAGTGATACGAAATGGCGATTCTTTCATTTACAGATAAATTAATCTTTTACAGAACTTCACTGAACCGCCATACCCTTGAAATTTTATATAGAAATCTGTTCAAAGTTTTTGCAAATACCATTAACGGAATAATTGAATCTCCTTGGCATCGAACACACTGAGGAGATTTTTAACGTTCGATGGCCGAAAAGAATACACAG